TCGTAAGCGATGGATAGAAGTAGGAAATAAGCAATATGAAGAAATATGCTTTTAGTACTCTGGAGATGGGTAACGTTCGCGGGCTTGTGCGTATTCTTTGGGGTGTCGTTTTGAGACTTTGGTTTTCATGGCTCTGGAATGTTGTTAGATTTGAGGTTTAGTGGAATAACAATAGAAAAATCGACTCACCCCATTCGATGTTGAGTCCACTCTAAATTAGCCTTCACCTCCTTGGCATCTTGATAACCTTCTTGCAATCTCGCTCTAGTTCTCGCAAGACGTTGTTGTGCCAGTGCTTGCAAATCCATGATTTCTCTATGTTTTGCGTTCAACAAACCAGATCTGATGGAAATGTCAGTGGGTGAAAATTGAAGGAAGGTGTTCAGGACTCAATTCTCACGTTTGTGCTTGAACTGCTAGAGTGCGATCTAAAGGAAGAGGATCAAATGCGCCAGAAAATCGATCTTGCATATATTCTTGCAAATCGACACCATTGGCGGAAGCGGTGCTATCATATTCACCACTTGCACTCCCAGCATAACTACTGGACGTAGCAGAGTAAGTCGAATGTCCATATGCAGGCGTCATGCCTGAACCTGTAGTGACAGATTCTGGAGCTTCTGGTGGCGAGACACCATAAGTTGTATTTTGTGGATTGTAATAGGAAACTTGTTGAGATTTTGTAGGAACGGGAATGGGGAGGGAAGTGGTTTGGTAGTAGGTTGCTTGGTAGGCCATGATGTAATAGCGTATAATTAGAGTGAAGTTAAAAATTTGTAAACGACAACAAAGAACTTCAGACGAATGAATTTTTTTTCGGTATGGATTGCTATGCAATGCGAGTAATAGGAAAGATGCAATTGTAATATCTTGATGGTGATATGATACAATGTTCAAGCACAGACAATAATGTAAGGGTCAATGAGTATGAGAAGTCTTGTTTGTTAGACAAGATATAGTTGTTTGTATGAAGCGGTGTAGAGTTGAGATTGGATTTGAAAATGGATTAAAAGGAAGAAGAAAGAGATTCATGAGAGAAGGATCTCAAGCTTCCTTTTATACACGGCCAGCTGGCCCGAATCACCTAGAGAGGACTAGCATTGAGGAGGGGGAATAGGAAATTTGTCTTGTCCCCGAACTTCCTTACCTACTTATCGATGACCCCGCGTCAAGAAGGAAGAGATAGGCTGATCGTTTGCTCTCTTGCCCCTTTCCTTACTAGTCCATTATCATCAGCCTCCTCCAATCCACCCTTTCCATCCTCTCACGTTTAACCCGAGCCCCTCCAGACATGCAGTAGTATCTCTCGATGGGGTGACCCTTGAAGACTCTGGCTTACGCAGTTGATGTGGATTGGTTCCAGAGTAGAAAGTGTTATTGATCAGAGATAGGCCATGTTGCTATTGCATATGCCGAGGGGATTGGATTGGTGGAAAGGGTGGGAGAGAGGAAGGAATGGAAGGGTTCGTAGTAGTAGTGGTGGTGGTGGTGGACAAGTTCATTCTCTATAATTTTCAAGGAAACGAACTATGCCGTAAAAGGATTTAGCAAGGCCTGAAAACCGACGAACAAACGAGCAAGCGCGCTCACGCTAGAATAAAAGGATTAATCAAGTGAATTGAGGTTCCTGACATAAAAGCAGCATTGGATGAATATACCATGTAGGATTTTCCTAGGGTTTTCCACATGAGCATCGTTTAGTAAGGTTAGGTGATCATGTAAGGTGGTAAGGTATCAAGATATTGGTAAGGCAAAGTAAGATAATCATGGCGGAAAGATTTCTGAACGTTCAATGGTCAATGGATTTTCACTTGGGCTTCATTGCAGGAATATTAGGCTTTAGGGCCGGAGAGAAGATCCTAACATGATACAATTGTTAAGTGACATATTTGAGTAGTTAGTATTGCTCAGTATCTAGGTAGGTACAGGTGGTACAACTCATTTGATAGTCTCATAGCTACCTAAGTACGTTGTTTCCAATTGGGAAATCTGGACATTTTCTAGCAAGAGAATGGTACAATTGGACAATTGGACAATTAGCTTTTCGAAAATCTCCTACTTACAGAGAGTATGACTTACTTTCGTTTGTTCCCATCTGCATGCGTTGTCAATTTGAAGATTCTACCGTTTAATGCCCTCCCAACACGCCCCCCTTGTCGGATTGGGACGGGAATGAGAAAGCAGGCGAATAGAAATGTCACCGATATTGAAGATTCCTAAAGGGTTTTAGACATCTAAGGAGACCAATCATTGTGATATCTTTCACCTACTTTTCGGTTCTTGAGAAACCACCGATACATGCAGGACAAATGATCACAGGATTGCTTTCGGTCCCAGAGATCTCGGTTCCTTTCCTGGCATTGTGAACAACACTCCTGCACGTCATGACGGCAAAAAAGTACCAAAGACGTTGACTTTTTGTTACTAAGAAGCCACTTCCATTAGTACAACCTGGCAAGCTGTGTGTTTGCAACTAATCCGAGGAACATCGGATTGATAGTGGTATATTATTCATGAGGCCATCAAAGTGGTTTTATGTGTTACCAAATAGATTACATTTTGTTGTTCCGAAGCTGGGTCCTAGCCTGCAGATATATCATGTTCCATGTGCATTTTGGTATTGAGCTACAATCAAACGGTGCGGCAGCAATGTACGAACGTGAGAACGGTTGAACTGGCAGGGCTGTGTTCATTTATCCTGTCAGCGAATGATATCGACCAATTCTTTGAGGTGGTATGCGTAGATTGTCCTCACATGCTTCAATTTCGGAATTTTCGTCAAATTAGCTACCCATCTTTCACTGCATGCTTATGCTTGGTGTATAGAATTTTCGGATCGTCCTACTAATACATCTAATTTGTACTCCCTCCTTACATGACATAAACTCGGTGTGAAGTGAACCCATATATGCACATTAGAAGATGCCTGCGTTATCGCCCCATCTCATCTCTAGAACGCTCGCTATGTTGAGCTACCCGGAACGCCTCCTGTGCCTATGATTATATTGTCCTTTATCTTCCTACCCAAATATCTTTAAAAATCCCCACATCCCAATCCCACTGAGTACCGGGATAGTCAAGTTGTCATCCCACCCAAATATGTCTACCACCTCACTAGCTGCCGCCGTGAAACCCGTCCAAACACTCATTATACCTAAAGCCAGCCCCCCAGAAATGACGCTTTGAGCCTCATTCAACCCAATAAGATCCCGGATTCCCGCAGAAAGGGTTAGGTCTCCCGAGAACATGAAGGGCCAGTCCAGATCATCGGGAAAGGGGCCGATTCTTGGTGCTAACCACCCCCAAAAAACGGCTGCGGTGACCACGCCAACGGCGAATGCAGCGAGAGATCCAGCAAGTGATTTACCACGTCTCAACCGAGGAGTATATCTTCCGTAGGCCCGTCCAAAAGTACTCGCCGCTGTATCACACCAGCTCAAAAGAAGTATTCCCATTACACCAACATCTTTCGGAAAGAATCCAAGAACGATCCACGCGCCAAGTAAATACCAGATGACACCATTCCATCCATCGTACTCGGTTTCCCGCATAAACGCTCCAAGTAACCGCACATATAAACCGTTAAAAGCCGGATAATTATGTCGGACATAATCCACACTTGCTATGGGTATCAGGGCACCCATTAGATAAGGCGTAATAGCATTTGTTTGGACACCAGATATGTAAAGCCAAATCGTGAAGAATCCTATGGAAACGTGCAAAACCTTTCTTGGTATTTCGTGGCGATGTACAAACGACCTCCATTGTCTGTGGATAGGTATAAGTCCCAAAGGACTTGGGCTTCTGCTGAAGTCTCTCCAGCTCCAGCCAGATCTTGTGCTGGTGGGGGATAGATGCCCATTTGACGCCTTTCCATTTGTACCGTTTGTTTCTTCAGGACGGACATTATCTGTAGGCTTGGAAGTCTTTTTCGTATTCTTGGCCGTGGAAGTTGCTACTTTTCGAGGTTTCAGAGGACTTCGACTCCTTGTCCTGGATCTGTCCAACTCAATAGCTGAGTCCTCCGGGTCTGTTTCACCCTCATCTATCCCTTCGTCTATCGGGACTGTCTGCGCTGACAGCTTCTTTCTCGCAGATCTGGTCATAGGTCCGAAATACTCTCCATTTTGGGATAGTTCCGACGGGGTTGGAGAAGGAGATATGACACGCGGAGTAGCCGGAATACCTGAATATGATCTCGACATTGCAAATTTTGGCAAACAAGGCACTGGAATAACACCGGCGAGTGTCCGTCGACTAAAGGCAAACGTTCGCAATAACGAGATAGTAGAGATGAGATGTTTGTCTTTCCGTGAAGAGCGTTCTATGTCGTTGTGGGGAGTAGTATCAAACGAATTTATTGTGTGAGAAGGCACAAGAAGTGCAGACTGAGCTGCATTGTTGAAGAAAGATATGATGACTTTTTGCGCCCCGTGGAGACGTGGCACATGAGTTATATGGTGGTTTCTTTTTTAAGTGTCAACGGAGATTGAATTAAATGAGACACGGACTGATAAGACGACCCGGACGCGGCACAGAAGAAATGTATAGAAGATTATTACTCTGAATTCCTGAAAAGCATGACTAAGCACGCGACCAGAACACTTTTACATGTGAAATTGATACTGGATGACTGAGGGAAGAATATGAATCTACTAATAATGTAGAATGGAATAGAATATTCTTACTTTTTTCAATAATCCTCTCGTTGTCTCTATTTTCCTGCCAATATCAAAGTTTGTTTATTTCACCAATGGACAAATTGGTAAAGGATTACCTAGCAGTAGTATTTCTTGCATTCATGCTTCTGACGTAGAACAGAAAGTGTTTGAACCTTGAATGTATGGAGGGAGAGGTGCGTTCCCGACAAGGGTCCCGCTCGTTAACTAGGTAGTCGGACCCGGAAAAAAATGTTGATCCCGATAAGATAAGAAAATTCCATCGACGGAAAACTAAAAACGTAAAAAACCTAACAAGCTTCATACCATTACAACATAATCATGGCAATTGAGAGCGAGAGAAAGAGAGATCCAAGAGCTTGGGATGCACTCACGCCTTCATTGGCGGAATGGGTATTGGATGCCATCTCGTCAATGGGGTTTGAAAAAATGACACCAGTACAGGCATCCACCATTCCCTTGTTTATGGGGAACAAAGATGTCGTTGTTGAGGTAGGTCTAGTATATCACCATGCAAACCTCATACTAATAACTTCAAGGCTGTCACAGGTAGTGGAAAAACTTTGTCCTTTTTGATACCCGTTGTGGAAAAGTTATTGCGATTGGAGGAACCTCTCAAGAAACACCATGTGGGAGCTATAATTGTCTCCCCAACTCGAGAGCTCGCGACCCAAATTCACTCGGTCCTCACATCTCTACTCAAATTTCACGAGCCATCTGCGGAAGCACTGCAGCCATTGGAGGAAGGCGAGAAACGAAAGCCTTCGTCCACCTTAAGAGTAATCCCACAACTATTGCTTGGGGGTACGACTACTCCGGCGCAAGACCTAAGCAGATTTCTTAAGAATAGCCCCAATCTCCTCATCTCCACACCTGGTAGATTACTAGAACTACTTTCATCTCCGCATGTTCATTGCCCACAATCTTCCTTCGAGGTTTTAGTGTTGGACGAGGCAGATAGGTTATTGGATCTGGGTTTCAAGGATGATTTACAGAAGATTCTCGGCCGTCTGCCGAAGCAGAGGAGGACAGGTCTTTTCAGTGCCAGTGTCAGTGAAGCAGTAGGGGAAATAGTCAGGGTCGGTCTGAGGAATCCAGTGAAAATCGCTGTGAAGGTTAAGGGGGCTGGAGGGGGTGATAAAATGACCCCTGCGAGTCTTCAAATGTCTTACCTGCTGACTCCACCAACCCACAAGTTTCCCGCGTTGCTATCTTTACTATCACAGCTTGAACCAACTCCTCAGAAATCTATCATCTATCTTTCGACTTGCGCTGCCGTCGATTACTTTCAACCTTTACTTGAGGCAGTATTGCCCAAACAATTTGGTTTAGTTTCCTTACATGGCAAGCACCCACCTAACGTAAGGCAAAGAAATTTCTCCAAATATGTTACAGCAGTCACCCCGACGATACTTCTTACCACAGATGTTGCCGCAAGAGGTCTCGACATACCTCAGGTCGACTTGGTAGTACAAATCGATCCACCGTCAGACCCAAAAGTGTTTCTTCACAGATGCGGAAGAGCGGGTCGAGCTGGGCGAAAAGGATTGAGTGTCATTTTCCTACAACCAGGACGTGAGGAAGATTATATCCCATTTCTTGAAATCCGTAAAACCCCAATTACACCCCTCAAACGGCCTGAAATCAGCATGACTGATGAGGCTGCTAAAATTCTAATTTCAAAGATGCGCAAAGAAGTTCTCGCAGACCGTGCTCTTTATGATAAAGGACAACGCGCGTTTGTCAGTTGGGTTCAAGCCTATTCGAAACATCAAGCAAGCAGTATATTCAGAGTTGCAGATCTTGACTGGACTGACCTGGGTAATGCTTGGGCACTTGTAAGGTTACCAAAAATGCCTGAACTAAAGAAGTGGGAAGGTGACAAAACCTTGGGCATAAAATTAGATATGTCTGAGTATGCATATAAAGATAAGATCAGAGAGAAAGCAAGAAGAGTGGCTATGGAGGAAGCAAAGAATGCCGGGCCATATGTACCAACTGAAGAGCAAATGGCAAAGAAAAAGCAAAGGGAAGCTTGGAGTCAGAAACACGAGAAACAAGATCTCAAAGAGTTGAAGCGAGAAAAGAAGAAGAGAAAGAGAGAGATTGAAAGACTGGAAAAGATGACGGACGAAGAAAAGAAAGAAGAGCAAGCAAAGGAGAAAGAGTTGCAGGATTTGATAGAGCAGGTGAAAAAGAGAAAGATTGAGGATGATGCTGATGTTGAGTTTGAGGGTTTTGCTGATTAGCCGTAAACTCGTTGTATTCTAGATCACTACAAAGATATACCCTTCCAATAGCCAGTACTTAATTGAATATTGCTGTCAAACTTCTGGAGGTGTTCTTGAATGTTATCCTGTTGTACAAAACTTAATTTTATTTTTTGTATGTGTAGCAAGGCAGCCGAAGTCCAACATCTCATCACATATCTATGTATGCTTACATACATTTCCATTTCTCCCCTTGGGCATCCGATGCTTATTCTCATGCTACAGCAAGATTTACGCCGCAATTTGCATCCCTTGTCACATACAGTCCCCAGACATCGTCTCCCCAAATCAGAAGTAACCTCGCAAGAACGGCCTGTATGTGTCCTTCCTCTATAAGTATCTCCATATCCCGTCTACATTCAAACCCAGGTACCCTTGGCTTCCAGTCCCATCCTTTCCTCCAATTTTGCCCATGGATTCTCATTGAAACTTCGATCATAGTATCCCTCATACCATGTCTTGTTAAATGCACCCCGTCCACTCGGCCTTGAACTTGCCATGCTTCCTGCATCACTCCCTCCACCTTTTCCTCCCCTCCTGTTCCCAATATTTCCTGTAAATCCTATATTACTATGCACTGGTCTTTCCGGAAGCCCATGTGGGCGTCCCGAAATTGGTTGCGATGTATTCGTCTCGGTTGATTCAGGTGCAGCAGCTAGAATCGCATCAATCTGCTCCTGTGTTTTGCGCTTTTCCTCTACTGCCGCCGGATCGTCCGATATGGCATCCTGACCTAAGGCATTTTCCCCTCCCTCGATCCCATCAAATATCGGAGGCGGCGCACTCGTATCCAAATATCTTGGTCCCTCATCCTCTCCATCTTCATCATCCTCCAAATCAATCTCTTCATCGTTCCTCTTCTCCTCGGCTTTCTCTCCCAGAACCCTCATCTTTCCCAACGGAATTTGATTCCCACCACTTCCTTGTCCCTTCTTCCCTCCCCGATCAATCTTTTCTAACTCTGCGCCTTCGACAAATGCATCCGTCGCAGCATTAAATTTACGTTTCTTGGAACGAGAGTCTTGATTTCCAAAACCAGAGAAGCCCATCATGGCTGCCATAGCGGCAGAATCATCTTCGAGTTCGATATCATCCATGATTTATAACGCAGTGATTATGGTTGTTGTTGCTGAGAATAAAGTTGCGGATGTTGAATTGGTAGGTCAGCCTCGCAACCTTCAACCTCTCGAAAGTTTTGTTGCACGTCTGAGGGGAAAGTCAAATACGGGGCTTTTGGGAGATGTATAAATTTTATTGCAGATGTAAAAAGAGAGAGACTGCACGATCTAGAAAAAAATTGTCCCGGGGGTCTTGACAGATTTTTTGAGGTGCGACGGCGAGGGGCGTTTTGATGGTTTTTTGTTTACTTTGGTGAGGCTAGGCACATAGCCTTGCAGAGGGTGGTTGCGATTGGATCCACAAGAGCTTCGCCAAGCTCTGATTCACTTGATAAGCTCCCAAGGTTCTCGATTATTTTCTCACATTCACTTTGATTTGATGAAGAAATTTACTGTTCCTCCACAGGGGACACAAGAATCCTGCTGTTTCTGCCCTCATCAAATACAATTATAATTAAATGCAGTCAATAAGCATAGTGTCCAGGTAGGGAGTGTACGATGAGCGAGCTTGTGCCAAAAATACAATACTTCTGTGGCGCTTTGTTTCAATTGATCGTCACGTCTTAGCTACATCGCGCCTTACAAAACGAGAACCTCATTCCGTTCGAAGAATCCGGAATTGAGAGTACATGTTGCTTTCGCGCATCACAGAAATTCCTACATCATAATCTAATCTGTCGCAGACATGACTGACACATCCAAAATAATCATCCGCTCTCCCCTCAAATACAACCACCCCTCACCTACCTTCACCACTCCACCTCTCGAATGGCTTCAACACACCTGGTCCGTCACGCATTCCACACTTCCTATGTGGAAAAAGGCGAAAAATGTTCGCATAACCTATAAAATTATACCACCCGCCTCTCCTCATGCAGCGCCTCTTCTTGACGACGAAGTAACCTCTACACCCACTTCTAAAACCTGGATGCCGCAGCCGAAAAGTATACAAGGCATTGATACACCAGATGGAGATGGGGCTTGGAATTGGAGAGGAAAGGGTTGGTTGAAGATTGCGAGTAGTCATTGGGAAGTTTTGGGGTGGGGAGAGAGGGAGATTACGGAAGGACCACAGAAGGGTGAGAAAGAGAGGTGGGTTGTTACTTGGTTTGCGCCGAGTTTATTTACACCGCAGGGGCTGGATATTTACAGTAGTCGGAAGGAGGGTCTGTCAGAGGGAACGTACAAGGAGGTTAAGAAGGCACTGGAGGAGATGGAAGCTGGTGATTTGGGAGAACTGGTCAAGGGGGATATGTTTGAGGTTAAGATTGAGTATTAAGGGTATCAAATTAAGGCTATAAGTTGTAATATTAGAGTAATAGATCTACTCATCTCTATGATGATGATGTCGATGATGATGTCGATGTCTGTGTCGATGTCGATCAATTTCATCCCTTTCTGACCTCCGACGATGTCGATGCCTACGTTCTCGTTCCTTTTCATGCTCCGGATCAGTTCTATGATGGGAGCTTCGTGACCTCTTTTCAGGTCTGTCCAAACTAAACCCTTCCAAATCATCGTCGTCTATATCATCAGTATGTCTTCGCTTTCTTTTATTTCTTCGCTCCTCTGCCTCCAGTTCCTTGACTTCTCTCTCTTTCTCTTTCATCCACTGTTCTCTTTCCTTCTTTACCTGTCGTACTTGAGCAGCGCCCTGTCTCATGGCAGCCAATGGGTCGTTTGAAATAATCCTCGCTGCATCTCTTTCTTTTCGTCTTGGATCTTCATTACCCCATGCGTCCTTGCCTGGGTTATCTTCATCAATAGATTTCACCTCTGCCGTTGCTTTCGAATACCATGGGTTATCGAGAGCTTGTTTGAATCCTGCCGCATTCGAAAATCGCATTGTATATTGATCTTCGTATTCTTTCTTCTTCTTCTCCTTTTCCAGCTCCACCTCTGCATTCTTCTCTACTCGGACTTTCTGTGGACGCTCTTGGGGGAACAAATCGATGTGTCCCGCGTGATCAACTAATGGTGCATCTGTAGGTTTTCGTAGAACAATTTGACGTTCATTCTTTGAAGACTGTGAATCTTGAGCTGCAACGCGCATCTCGAAGTCAGTTTCGTTCTCCCCATTTCGTTTCCTAGGTCTCCGCTTGCGTTCTTCGCCGGAGCCATGTGAGCGTCTCTCATGCGGTTCATTGTGTTCTTCTGGCTTGTCTTCTATTGAAAGAGGTGTAGGTATTTCTCCTCGTAGTATTTGCATGCGACGTTCCGCATCTAACTCTTGCATCTGTTGCTCCTCCGCCTCCTCCTTGGCTTTTGCAATAGCTTCATCGCGCCGGACTTTCTCGATGTTATCTTTGTTGTAAACATTCCACGACTTCTTGCCCAACAAATGACTATTAAACGTCAGTTATCTGATCTTCAATAATTAAAATAACGAAACTTACAGAGGCATGATTGGTAATCGAAGTTGTTGATCCCCGCTTTGGACAAAGAAATCTAGATCAAGGCTGAGAGGTTGCGATAAGGATTCTGGGGTTGGAGAGGACAAGGCCAATCCAATCATTAGCTGTGCTCGGTCGCCGCTTGCTGATGTCAAACCTGCAAGAGACAGCAGTCGCAACACGAATGGCACTGTCCACTTTGAAAACTTCATATTTTCATAGTTTACTCAGAAATTCAAGGAGATAGAGGATCTCACTGACACTTTATTCACTTACAAAATTATATCTGTTCTCTTTGAACTTTGAGTCATTGTTGAAAGGACAGTTTGATTTTCGATATCATAAGGCTGGTGCCTCGCGAAATCCCCTGAAGATCAACCACTCCGCAGCAGGCTACGACTACCACTACCGACACTATTTTGCCTCGTGTACATAAAAACTTAAAACGAGTTTCATCTCCACGCCTTCTTTGAATATTACAAAGCCTCTCGTATCATCTATCGAGTCCCAACAGACAATCATCCTTCTTTACATACGAATTTGCCAACGAAATTATGAATCTCCGCAATAACCTGTTTGGCTCGGGACCAAGATCATCGAGAGACCAACCGCCTGCAGGCTATGGCAGAGCTCCAGCACCTCCTCCCCGGGAAGACACTGCTATGGGTGGTTATGATGGAAACGGTTATGGGGGACGTCCAGAGAAGTCTCCTATGACCTCTCCAAGGCAAGCTATGCCGATGAGACAACCTGTTGGTGGCAGAGGCCCAATGTCTCCCCGAAGAGCACAGCTCAGTATCGCCAAAGTCGAAGATAAAACCAAGGCGAATCAATACATTTTTGGCAATTTGTGAGTATTTGTGGTAAGATTATAATGCAGTGCGTGTATTAACATTATTACAAGGTCCGCTGTATGCCCCATGGACTTTCCACCCAACCAGGACGGATCAGATATATATCTCATATTGAATGGCATGTTTGTTGTTACTGCAAGGCCATTAGATGGCTTCCCTCCAGGATGTATAAGTTTATCGGATCCACAACGAACTTGGTGTAATGTCGGAATGCTGGATAGAATAAACGCTGAAACATACGATCCTTTTTACCAAGGCCCACAGGCTTACCTTGGTGCTCTGGACGTCGAGGTCGGATTCGCCTCAGCGAAAAAGTTTACAGACGTACCTTACGACCAAGATGAATTGGCTAGTGTGTTCATTAAGTGGTTCGAGAACCAAGTCTTTGCTCCTGGCCAAAGGTTGCTAATGGATCACAAAAATGTCCCTTTGTCATTTCTTGTTAAAACTGTCCAACTGTCCGATTTGAGCATGGAGAAAAACGCTGAACCGTCTCCAACTGTCAGCGCTCCACAAGCTCGGGGTATTTTAGTTAGAACGACTCCTATCACATTCTATAAGGATTCAAAATCGCCCATTAAGTTGAAGGGATCGAGTAAGCGGCCGGCCGCTAATTCTATCATTGCGCCGGATTTTAAATTCGAAAATATGGGTATTGGTGGTCTAGATACTGAGTTCAGTGCTATTTTCCGAAGAGCTTTCGCTTCTCGTATTTTCCCCCCTGGTTTAATCGAGAAATTGGGCATCCAGCACGTGAAAGGTATTCTTCTGTTCGGTCCTCCGGGTACTGGAAAGACACTCATTGCTCGTCAAATTGGAAAGATGTTGAATTCAAGAGAGCCAAAGGTCATAAACGGTCCCGAAGTACTTAATAAATACGTTGGTCAATCCGAAGAAAATATTCGAAAGCTTTTTGCCGATGCCGAAAAGGAGTACAAGGAGAAGGGAGACGAGAGTGGTCTTCACATCATCATTTTCGATGAATTGGATGCCGTTTGCAAACAAAGAGGAAGCGGATCAGGTGGCGGAACTGGTGTTGGCGACAGTGTAGTCAATCAACTGTTGTCTAAGCTTGATGGTGTTGACCAGCTCAATAATATTCTTCTTATTGGAATGACCAATCGAATGGATATGATTGATGACGCTCTTCTCAGACCTGGACGTTTGGAGGTTCACATGGAAATTTCCCTGCCAGATGAAGCCGGCAGAGCACAAATTCTTAAGATTCACACTTCAAAGATGTTAAAGAATGATGTCATGGATACAGATGTCGATGTTGCTGAACTCGCTCATCTAACAAAGAATTTCTCGGGAGCTGAAATTGGTGGTCTCGTCAAGTCAGCTTCATCATTTGCTTTCAATCGACACGTCAAAGTTGGCACTGTAGCAGGTGTTAGCGATGATATCGAAAACATGAAGGTCAACAGAAGTGATTTTATGCATGCTCTTGACGAAGTCAAAGCCGCGTTCGGTGTGTCTGAAGAAGAACTTGAAGGTGCCATGGCAGCAGGTATCTTGCCTTTCAGCAGGCATATTGATACCATTCTCAAAGATGGTCGTCTATTCATAGATCTCGTAAGACAGTCACAAACAACATCTCTTCTCTCAGTGCTTCTTCATGGCCCCCCTGGTTCTGGAAAGACTGCCCTCGCAGCAGCCATTGCCAAAAGTTCAGAATTTCCATTCATCAAGCTTGTTTCCGCCGAGAATATGGTTGGATTTGGTGATGCACAAAAAATTCAATATCTCAACAAAGTCTTTATGGATGCATACAAATCCCCTCAAAATATTGTTGTTATAGACAATATTGAGCGTATTATCGAATGGGTTCCTATTGGTCCCCGATTCTCAAACGCTGTACTACAAGCCCTTATGGTTCTGCTCACTAAGCAACCACCAAATGTAAGTTCTCTACTTTCTCATCTATACCATGATATTAACAACTTTCTAGCAACGTCGTCTCTTGATTATAGGCACTACATCTCAACGCAGTGTCCTCAAACAACTTGATCTCCAACCCATTTTCAACCGTGAACTCGCAGTGCCCAATGTCAATACTTTTAGCGAACTAGCAACTATCTTGCGAGAAGTTAAAGCGTTCGACAATGAAGGCGATTTGCAAGAGTCCTTGAATCAACTAAAACAATACACGGAAAGTGATAGTATAGGTGTGGGTATTAAGAAGGTGCTTTTGGCAGTTGGGGAGGCTAAGCAGGAGAGAGGTAGTGTACCAGCCAGGTTTGCGGATATTATGGAACAGTTGATTGCTAGTGGAAGGGATTAGATAGACTGAGATGGAACCATAATGAATAGGCGGGAAGAGCAATACAGGAAGAAAATCGGTTTGCATTGGATAAGGATATGATAGATAGGGTTATGATAGATGATAAGACGAGCCGAAGAGTATATCAGACAATGTTTTGATTAAGCATCCATTGAGCCCAATCCTTTCGACAAGTTTCTCATAATGCTTAGACGAGAAGTGCTATAATTTGGTAGTAAAATTGCAAGTGCAATCGAGACTTCATACGAGGAAGTTTGAAGTTGTCTGGAGTTGAAGTGTAAAATGAATTAGAAACAATTGTGACAGGTTTCTTTAAAACACTTAATTCAACGTCTGTCCATCTTTTCTGTTGTGTATAGGGCGACAAAAGAAGTTCGTGAGGTTCAAACCTTCTCATCAACTAGATCCAACCTTAGTTTCAAGTGAGTTCTACAGCACCACATCTATGAGATCGTAACTTCCGCGATTCAATATCTCCATCAATTAAAAATCACTATCATAGCGCCAATATAATAAGCATATTACTGGCATAACTCATGGTTGAAAAGACCTTTATGATAGGCTGACCTCTCACCGTCACTCGTTCAACCTATCAAGTCTGGATGGGCACCGAACCTTAGTGAATACTTATTGGAATTACATGGCATGATTAGAGTGAATAGAGGTCTCAATATTGAGGGGCACAGGATGTTCGGTTGGTGATCAGATATTATAACATGCAGCTATGCCCCCAACCCACTTCCTGAACAACGTGTTCCAGCCAAAAAATCCTCACCTCCTACAATCGGTTCCAGCCAACAATTCCATCATTCTCTATTGCCATTATGGATTTTCTCAGAGCCCAGTTTACTAAAATTCCTAAACTCAAACTTGTCAATCTTTCAAAGAGTACCGTTTTGATTACGGGCGCAAATGCCGGTCTCGGATTAGAAGCCGCTCGTGAGATTCTTCTCTCCAAGCCAGAACGTCTGATACTTGCTGTGCGCGATATCGAGAAAGGCAACGTCGCAAAGAAAGAGCTACAAAATGGAAAGACATCAAACACTCAAATCGATGTACACAAATTGGATCATTCGAGCTTTCGTTCTGTCCAGAATTTTGTCAAAGGACTTGAGGGTCAGCGCGTCGACATAGCAATTCTGAACGCAGGTATGAAGCACTTTGTTAGCTCAATTGATAACTTGAACTAAAGCTGGTTTTATAGGAACATGGAACACAAAATTCACAACAACTACAGATCGCTATGAGGGTAACTTGCAGGTCAACGCTCTCGCTCCTGCATTGATCTCCTTATTGCTTCTTCCGAATCTCCGAGCTGCTGCGTCTTCCACTCGCCCTTTCGATGCTCCTCAACCTCATTTGAGCATTGTTTCTAGCGGTCTTCATGAAATGGCGAAATTTCCGGAGAAAGACCTTCCACAGGGCGAAATATTGGCTGCCTTGAATGATGCAAACCGGTACACCCAGTCGGATCGCTATCCAGTAACCAAAGCAATTAGCCTCTTATGGGCCAAAGAACTTGCAAATAAAGTAGCAAGCTCAGAAGTTATCATCAATGCACCAACACCCGGATTTTGCAAGACTGGACTCATGAGCCCAACTTCTGGTATCATGGGCCTTATCGTTAAGCTTTCAATGATCTTGGTTGGCAGGTCGGCTCCAGATGGTGCTAGATGTCTAGTCGATGCGGCGGTATCAGGACCTCGGGAAACACATGGACGATACTTGAGTGAAATGCAATTAAAGCTTGAGTCAGAGCTTGTTCGTAGTGAGCAATGAACCGAGTTAGGAAAGAGGTTGCGGAAGGAGATTATGGATATTTTTGCTCGAGAGGGATTATATGTTCAGAGTAGCCTTTCTGGCAATGCCTGACCTAGAATTGGGTCGGTTGCTAAATCTTTGCGATCATCTTTTGGGTGAAAAGAGCTTAAGTCTCATTATTCATTTTTTAGGCCTATCCAATTTCTAATGAATAGAATCAAATTCAAGAGTTTTCAAACCTTACCCGTTCATTTGTATGCGTCTGTAACAAGTTATCTCGACACAGCTTGTATTTATCACCGATATTGGAGGATGCAGTTAGAAACTAATACAACAATTAGTGATGCTGCTAATTCTAAGAGTATGAACAGTGTAGTCTATTTGCTACCTACCCTGGTCAAATTCCGGTAATAGGTTGGCAGGATGGAGAGGAATGTCTGGTTGATAGTTAGTTATGGGCAACAATTCGACCAATTTGAAGTTTTCAGATGGAAATCTTGCGGCTCGTTTTGCCGTATGCGAGCTCCATTGTCAGTCCCTTCGCGCACTGAAAATTCTCAATCATATATAAAAATTCTCACTTATTTAGAGGCCATTTTTGTGTGACAGTATTCCATCTCGTTGGGAATTTACTAATTTTGCCTGATGGCAAGCGGGCTCTATAAATGCCGAGCTATTGCGGCGAAGCAATACGGATGTCTTCACTATCACCCGCTTGTGAATCATCACCTTACCATAAATTTGTTGGTAGCTTATCCACGAAGCAATCTTACTACTTTCAATAATTGCAAAGTTACTTTTTCGTCGCCGATATCTCTTGTTAACTAGAATAATGATGGCAACCTTACAGTTTTGCGAAGTTCTGCTATTTCTTTGCATTTTTGTAAGTCGAATCTGTCGTCCCCGTTACTACCCAGGCTGACCAAATTCAAGTATGTGGCTTGTTATGCAATTGTTGGTTTATACAACATCACATTTCATCCTCTTGCTAAGATACCCGGACCCAAGTTACGTGGTGCCTTTTACTTTCCAACCTACTGGGGCAAGTGAAACGCTTCTAATTATCAATCACTTCATAGACTCTTCAAACCCTGCAATAACTTGCTAACCAAACTGAATCCACAGAGATTTGGACAGGTGACGGGGTGGCAAATGTCAAGAAGCTACATGATCTTTACGGAAATACTGTTCGAATATCTCCCGCAACAGTATCTTTCAACAATCCTGAAGCTTGGCAAGGTATAGTCTAGCAAATGCTCTGAGTGAGAACTAGTCCTTACTTTTGTATTTAGAGATCTATGGCCAGCGTCATGGAAAAAAGCCTATCCCAAAAGATAAGGAGATATATTTCTCTGGAAATGACGGGGCTGCAGACATCATCTGTAAGTTAATACTTCACATATTGTTCAAGGAAGGATTTACACTGACCAAAACAGCATCCAACGACGTAGACCATGCTCGTATCAGACGAGCACTAAGCCACGCCTTCTCGGAAGCTTCTCTTCGCGAACAAGAGCCTCTAATGAACGTGTACTTTGACCTTCTTATCCAGAAGCTCTACGAGCAAATCGACAGTCCCTCGAATGGCAAAGTGAACATTGTCCGATTCTTCAACTTCACAACATTCGATTTGATTGGCGATCTATGCTTCGCCGAATCTTTCAATGCTCTCCGCACTCAAGAATACAATTCTTGGATTGCCAACATCTTCAAGGGTCTCAAGTTCGCACGTCTATTCCGCGTCATGCGTGCGTATCCCCTGGTTGGAATGCCCATTTTGGCCATGTTAGCGCTGTTTCCTGCACTGCAGAAGGCGAGACAGAGACACATACAATACACACAAGATAAGACTGCTCGTCGTCTAGACACCGTTACCGATAGACGTGATTTTATGAGGTTCGTAGCCCCCATTATACTCACATGATATCAATAGTACTGATTTTAGCTCAAATAGTTATATTCTTCGTCACAACGACGAGAAAGGGATGACGAGAGCGGAGATTATGAAGACTACTGGCACGCTCATTATAGCTGGGAGTGAAACCACAGCTACGCTACTTAGTGGCGCTATCTTTCATCTCCTGAAGAATCCTTCGTGTATGGCATCTCTTGTCCAAGAGATCCGTTCGTCGTTTGAAGAGTCCGCCGATATGACATTTGTAAAACTTGCTAATCTGCGATATCTAAATGTCTGTCTACAAGAAGCCTTTCGTATCTACCCACCAGTTCCAGGAGTACTACCCCGAAGAACACAACCTGGTGGTGTCGTTATCAATGGTCACTTTATCCCTGAAGACGTGAGTAAATTTGCACATTGGTAAATAGACAAAAGCTGACTAGATGTTAAGGTATCAGTCGGTATCCACCAATGGAGTGCCTATCATTCTGCTGCCAATTTCGCACTTCCAGATCAACTTTTACCGGAAAGATGGCTCGATGATAAAGTTTCGGATCCACGTTTTGCGTCGGACAAGCGTGGTGTTGTACAACCGTTTTCGGTGGGACCTAGAAATTGCTTGGGACAGGTATGTGCAGTACATCCAGGTATGAGACATGGCAATAACTAACTAACTATCAACCAGCATCTTGCAATGTCAGAGATGCGAGCCATTCTCGCGCGTATCCTGTGGCATTTCGACGTAAACTTATGCGAGGAAAGCCGCAATTGCGATGAGCAGAAGGTTTTCATTTTGTGGGAGAAACCGGATTTGATGGTTACCGTCAAGGCGCGGGAACGATGAGATTTGTTGCAGTAGGGAGTGGAAGCGTAATCAGACATACACGGACATATATTCAAGAATATACAAATGCATTTTTATAATTGTATTCTCTCACGAAAAATTCGATAGTGTTGACTGATCTTCATCTTTTGATGTGGTCTAGAAGTAAGATTCTATCATGATCTAGGGAATGATATCATCTACGCGCTCGGAAAATATTAGCGTTGGGGTTAACGCCCCTTTTGGACATCTCCGCCGCGTGCTTTAATCGTACAACAACTCATACACAATCTCCATTCCATTTCTTTATAGCGAGTTCTCCGAATTCAATTAAAAAAAAGACTATCTGTAAACTTCCAACTACAATTACAACTACAAGCAAGGTTCATCAGTGCATTCCCAAAGTAGAACTTGACAAAGTTCAGCGGGCATTGATTTTTTTTCCACATCATTACCTCCGTAGGAACGGTGCGGTGAGCAGAATTTTAATAGTCAGTGAAGTGCTGTGCTATAGAAATACAATGCTTCTACATCTGCACAGTCTTCTAGCCGAGTTATGCACTCCCTTGTAGATTTAGATGATTGAAAACATGGCATAGTGTAACAAAATTGAAGACTTCAAACTGATTTCTGATTGCGCATTTTAGTTGTGTTGAGATTTGTATATCTAAATTGATATGTGTAATTTGCTTCTTCTTTCTGTCTTACTTTTAATACTATTCTCCATCTTTCTTTCCTTCTCCCTCCTTCTCCATTCTCTTAAATCCCTTTTTCTGATCCTTAGCCACCAATCCCTTTCTAACCACATACCTCTCATTGACCACCTCCACCGTTTCCATCCTCGTCTTATCCATAACCTTTGTATACTTCCCCGCAAATCTCGGACTATCACTCCCATCAAAAACCTTCTGACTCCTTCCCTTTCCCCCTTTCCCTCCACTCAACTCACTCGCATCCACTCCTTGACGACTGACAATCCCCATTAATTCACCCGCGAGAATCGAGTCAATCTTACGTTCTCTCCAAACTTTCCATAAATCATCCATCAAACCAGCTTGTCCAAATTTACCCTCGGAGAATCCGGGAGAGTCGCCTATGTAATGCCAATCCAAAGCGTCAGTTCGGGACTCGTCGTCTTCGTGGGGAAAGATACAGTCCCAGAGAACAAGTGGAGTATCGGTTGCCATTTCATAAGTAGGTCTTCCTGGATTCTTTTCCACGTCCAATAATTCCGAGACCACAGAAGGTTTCTCTAGGCCCTGTCCTACCAGAAACAAAATCGCAACCATGTGACGTACTTGATGCCAGAGAAATGCCGATCCATGAAGGTCGAAAGTATAGACTTTAGGAGCTTTACTCTCACCGTCCGTTTTGGAACGAACTGATTCATCTAGGAATGAACCTCCATTTACATAAGCCAGCGAACTTGTATAGTCATCTACCTCTTCGATATTCGCATAAAAGATCCTCCTTTCAAAATTGGTGATTTGTTTTCCCGGATCCACTTTGCAAAAGTTCCTAAAATCATGCAACCCCTCATATAACCTCGCCGCTTCCCTCATAGCATCGATATCCAACCAGCCATCTTTCATCTTACTAGCCGATGTACCATGTTCCAACTGAGAAGGAATAGGAGAAAACGCAGGCTGGGTAAAAAAATATCGATAGCGGCGTTCACGACAGGAGAAGCGGGCAGAGAAATCCACAGGTGGTGATGGACACCATGCTAATATACGAATATCAGGCGGTAGAAGACGATTAAGAACTTGTGGATAAGGTATCTCATCCGTAATATGATCAAAAGCAAGGCTTTCCTGAATCTCTGGATCCGACAGACTGAACGTTCCACTATCGGAGCCCTGTGGTCCTGGAACGCCTGCAGATGGAGATAGCGGCGCAGATGTGACTTCGATGCCGTTTTCCCTCGGATACGTGTTATACATATCTTCCTCTTCACCAGCTTCTCCCTCTACAGATTCTTCTTGTGTGGACCTCGCTTTCGGTTTAGGCAGTGGTCGGTTACTCCTCACTCTAATACCAATAACCTGTCCAAAAGCACTAACACCCTTATCCGTCCTCCCACATTTCGAATATTCGCATCCCTCCCAATTGACTTCTCCCGGTGCCAGAGGATTAACCCCCTGAGGAAATATAAGACGAGCCTTATTCAACGCCTGCCACAATTCTTCTTCAATGGTAGTCAAAGGTGTTGGGTGTGCATGATGTTCGAATCCATTGTAGCGTTTTCCTAAATATGCAAGTTTGAGAGCTATGAGTCGAGTGTTGTACTTGGAGGGGTCGAAATCGCGTTCGCGGCGGGGTTTCTGGAGATTTCGTTTGGGGAGAGTGGTTACGCTGGGGTTTGATCAATATTGATTTCTGAGGATTGGGAGAAGACTGATCAGTACCTTTTAGTATTACTCTTAAGCTCCTTCTCTAGTTGGGTAACTCTCTTAATCAAATTCTCATGCGACCAATCGCTATAATCTGTCATTCTTCCCATCTTCTTCGATCTTCTCTCTCTTGCACTTCTCTCTGCGTCGGGAATCCAATTGTCTTTTGTGAAGAAAGCTCGTAAACGCTTCTGTGGTATCAAAAGCACTTCTCTTCTACAGGTTTTCCGGACGAACATTCATGAAAGCCAGTCATGAGATTTTCTTCAATGATATTGTTTGTCCGAATTTTTTATTGACTCATGAAACTTCGGGCCAATGAGCTCTTAGATGCAACAGGGGTAAATTCCTTATCGCTTATCGCAACCTTACCCCTCTGCACTCCTATCAACTCTACTCCACAACGACTACTCCAACTCACGTTCATTGTTCGAGTAAACATGAAACTACGCATTCATATAATCAACCATGGATGACACCCAACTAGGACCCCCTCCTATAGAAACAACAGTTCTACTCCTGGGCGATTCCGAAGTCGGCAAATCGACCTTTCTATCGTGAGATTTCCTACCCCGCCCCCATCCACCCCAAACACCCAAACTTATGCTCCCTTCCAGCCAACCCCCATCCAATCTCTCCCCTTCCGCCACCTCAAAACAAGCCCATCTCCTCCTCGATTCCCACCAACCATTTACCTTCGGCATCCGCTTTTCCAACATCCCTTACCGCTTAAATTTCTACGACACCTCTTCGCCTACCGACTGGAAGACATTGAAACCTAATGTTGTCGTACTCTGTTATGCCGTTTCGAATCGCCTGAGTTTGATTAATCTACAGAGATTTGTATGTATTGTGTAATCAATTTCCGTCATAGTCAATAATACATCCCCGTGACAAGTAGATGAGTAAAAATCATGCGAAGGATAGGAATACACAAACACATCACCAAACACACGAACAAGAAGAACCACATGCACATCAAACCAACAAAAGAAACCAAACTAACCCCCCAAACAGTGGGCCAAGGAACTCCAAACCGCCTTCCAATACGAACTCCCCGTCCTCCTCCTCGCTCTCAAGCGCGATCTCCGATCCGAAAAAGATCCAAATGGGATCATCTACCCGCAAGAAGGTCATCGCATTGCGCAGGAATTGAGATGCGATCGATATATGGAGTGAGTTTTATTCATCCGTGGTTCTCAATTTGCCTTTCCTCTTTTATACTTCATACTTGATACTTGATATTTCATAATAACCCATCCTTCTCTTCCCCTCTCCTGCAAACTCAACGCGAAGCAGAAACGCAACATATATTACCCATCCCCAACGAATCACTAACGCACATCTCATCAGATGTTCATCCATGACCGGCGAGCTAGTAGCAGAAGTATGGGAAGATATCAGCCGCACCGCCGTTCTAGCTGCTGGGGGAGGAAAAGCGGGTTCCAATGGTGATGGTGGGCTAAGCGATGGGGGATGTTCAATTATGTAAAGCTCAATGAGAGCGGGAATTCCAGCATGTGTAATACGGTTTCGATTCAGTTATGCTTAATTTTGGATTCCAAAAGGGTGCATCATCTAATAACCTAATACATATACATTGGATGTCACTCAAAGGTTAGATGGTGATTGATAAGTTCACATGAGGATCGCATAGTTAGATCGAAATCTTTCTTCTTTCGTTCATTGATATCTCATCTAGCCACTCCAGCTACTCTACCACTACCACTCAACTGACCGTCTCGCAAGCAGACAAGTAACACACAAAGGGGTATACGACTCGCTCATCTTTTACATCCATCCATCCCATCCATTTCACCCGAGGTCAAGCCGATCCGCCATTACGATACAAGAGATAATGCTCCCCACCCCTCGGGCCTCGATAAAGTATTTCTCTCTCTTCCATTTACATTCCAATCTCGCCAATCTGTAGCAGCGCCTCCCTGAAACATTTGCTGCAAAATCCCCTTCTCCATACACCCGTCCATCTATCGACCTAACACCACAAAGTCGCTTGAAAGCCTAGCACTCCATGGAGGTAGGCAAGAGGAAAAAGAATAATACAGCGAACCAATGAAATATAAATCGTGACAGTCATGGTCATAGAAAAAGAGTCCGAAGCCAGACTTTGATAGCACTAAGGAAATATTATGTTAAGCCGTCGTGGTGACGCGCAGGCTATGCTGGGCTTGTAGAAACTTGGGACCAATAAAAAGAGAAAGTACATGAAAAGAATCCTTCAAAGCTGTCTCAAGATGAGAGGTATGAAGTTCGAATACGGTGCTGAAACACACATTACAAAATTTTAAACAAAAGGTCCCAAAATTTGAATTTGTTATTACAAAGAATTTGTTGTTTTATCCATCTTTTGATGAATTCGAAACTTGATCGAAAGTTTCGTAGATTAGGTCGATCGAGAAAGGATGGACAACCAACCAGCCTGTTTCCATGAAAATTATCGGATGTGCGATAGAGTCACGATTAATCTGAGTGATCAATTTTGGATTGATCTTCCATATTTTGCAATGTCTTCGTCTCGTAGTGCTGCCATCCATAAACACCTTTCGGTGATGCCTTCAATTGGAAGGAATCTATACAGCTGGCTAGCCTCAAGCAATCTAAGTAGATTCTTGATGATCGTGGCATCGCATCGACATCTCTCAAAGTTCACCAAAGGTTCCGTTGTTGGCGTACTTGCAAATTGACTTGGACGCTCTGAGTTGACGATGAGATCGTGAGTATAGATCCCGACAAATGGAATGCAGCCTTGATCTGCACCGGAGCCTTCCATCTCGGCTCTCAAGTTATGAAAATTACTTGTGGGTGTTACAAGTTCTTCCAATTCGTTAAGGGTTTGTATATCGGATGCCGGAACGTGGGCCCACGTTGAGGTGAGACGGGAGATATCCTTCGAAGTCAAGGCTACAGTGAGTTGTGTCATTGTAGCAAAGTTTCGATATTTGCGACAATTAACAGCAATGTGAATATACTTGATGATGCATCGAACTCGTTCTTCTAGATCGCCTGTCAGAACGATTTCAGACACGGCCCACTTAACCATTATGTTGAACCGTGCGATGACAACTTCCACTCCGCGAGGTTCCGAAGAGCGTAGGAAGTCAACCCATGAGCGAGTATCTGTGGCAGCATCTCTCCAGCGCATTTCGATGAGATCCTTCCAATCAATTTCATTCAAGGCATCTTTCTCAATGAGAGTGAATTGTTGAGCAAGAATTCTCGAGTCAAATGCAAGAATAAATGGCAGGTGAACAGACGTTTTGCGAGAAGCTTCACTTGTACCGATAGGTCGCAAGGCGTCTCTACCAAACCCGCCTAATCCAAGGGCACTAGTAGGGGTGATGCCTGGCGTTGGTGGTAAATAGTGCCCTTGTTGTAGCTGGTAATCATGGACCTGAGGAATATTCGCGGTGTTTGGAGACATGTTCAATGCCTGCACCAAGGTCATTGGAGGCGAAGGGGGTTGATGTGGTGATTGAGGTGAATGGGGCATCTCCTTAACTCCTGCTCCCCGTCTCAAAGCAAGGGAGTTTGGAGCAGGCATATTTGTTATCTCTTCAGGATATTCGGAATTTGAGATCACAGACATTTCGGATGAAAGGTCACTGTCAATGTTGAGGAATGAATGATTGCCACCTTCACTAACATGTTCTTTTGCACCGGTGTGCATTCTTCGCAAGCTTTCCGTTTCGGTTATGAAATCAAAAGATCCAGGATGAGAAGAGTGCGGAGTGTTATCCATCGATCCTTGACGCCCTTCATTAGGACCTTCGGGAATCGATCTTTCTGACCAATTGCGTGTATGTCTTTCGTAGCTTTCGTTCTCGCTAAAAGCACCATCAAGGAAAGAACCTTCAAAAAATGAATCGGTGAGACCACTTGACTCTGGTACTGATGAAGTTCTTGACACGCCTGTTGGATGGTATGCAAAAGTTCTACGTTCCGCCTTCGTTGAAGCTTCCTGAGGCTGGTATGTAGATGGGGCTAGGTTGAAAATGGTCGAATCCACGACATTTCGTTGTCTATGTCTGCGCTTCCCTTCTTCCTCATCATCCAAAGTAAGGTTACTGGCATCATATGGACTGCCGCCAAAACTGTTGGTGTTTCCCTCATTCTCAAACCTCCCAGATAGCTCGCCGCCTGGGGTGTGGGAATGCCTCTGCTCAAATTTCCCTTCGAGTTTCAGAAGAGCTGACTCAACGCCGCCATCGTCATCGATATCATCTGGAATTTGGGCAAGCATCTGAGCTTCCTTTTCGAAAGACGGACGCATCACAGGTTGAGATGAATGGGTGTCGAAGAAGGATACACGAGCTTTGGGCGTGATCTCAGCTAGTGCCCCTAATGAGAATGTCTCTACATGGCGTTGAGTTCCATCATAATCACTATTGACTACATCGATGTATTGGCCATCATCCCCACTACCAAGAAGATATGAGCTTCGGACAGAATCGGAATATGTCGTAATGGAGCCAGTCGACATTGGTCGAACATGAGCAGTATTGAGGTCTCCAACATTACCAACGGCCCTTAGATCTCCACCTGGCCTTCTCCTGAGTACTCGCAGTGGCCGTGGAATAGGTGCATTTCGAGAAAAGCTCTCTGCAATCGATGCTTCTTCTGTGAACGTGGTAGCATCAAAGCTCCGCTCGCTTCTGTGGTGTTGAGTAAAACCACTCTGGAAGGACGCATAACGACGCAACGATGCGGATTTTCTGACTCGGTAAGTTTGACTGTGAAGTCTCATTGAATGTGTAGGTATTGGTCTGGGTCCGAGAGGGTGCTCATAGTCTCTTGAAGGCCGTGAGTCACCGATCAGCGAAGGAAGGCCTTCTAATGATAAAATACGATTCACAGTATGTCCTAGTAGATGGGATGACCTTCTTGGAGTTCCAGCGAAGAGAACGCCTGGCGGGGTCGTTGGTGGCGTAGGTCCATGTGATGGATGCAAAAATGTATCAGCGAACGAGCCGACCGACGGACTCACGGCCAATGCGCCGGTCATCATAGGCAAAGGCAATGACATGGTATCATCAACAATTAAGATGCTCTTGCTTCCATTTGTAACTTCGCTCTTGGGTGACCTGTAGGTTATGGGACTTGAATTTTCCAAGGTAACATCTGGACACATAGTCGAGTAGTGAATGCCAGATTCGTGATGACGACTTATTGGTGGCGATAGCTGCTCAACTACACGTGATCTACGAGCTTGATCGGCCTCCTCTTCCTCTCGAACTGCCTTTTTGAAGTCTTCAGCAACTTCAGCACCAAGGAGGTCAATTCTCATTGGTGTACGAATTGAATCGTGCTTTTGGGCTTGTGGGACCACAGCGCTACCAGGAAGTCGATTTACGGTTGCCCCTCGAACTCCGAGAGGAGGCATATTGGGAAAGCTACCTTGGGTTGGAGAGCTAATTGGACTATGTCCTCCTCTGGTGCTCAATGCACGACGTACGCTACCTAAGAGTCTCTTCATCCCTGGCCCTGACATCGCCGAAGGGCCTTTGTGATTGGGAGGTGCTCTGGGAAACAAAGTGGTTTCTCGACCAAATTCTGCTGGAGTGCTTGGCGCAACAATGTCGACAAAAGCTTGTCCAGGTGGAAAGAGATTACCTCTCACCAAACTTCCAGCATAAGGTAAAGCAAGAAGTAGCTCCGTACTCTTATAGATAACCTTCTGTACAGGTGGCTCGGGTTCCGGCTGTGCTCGGCGATCTCGCAATGAGTCAGAAAAGCTTGCGCTGCGCTTGTGTGAATGCGAAGGGCGGACCCGTTTACCAGTAAGAGCTTTGGGTGTGGTTGCTACAGGGGGGGCAGGATCGTATAGAGAGCTGGCAGGGACTGGATGTGCCCCGAGGGGGTTTATTCTTCCGCCACCTCTTGTTCGACTAGGAAATGAGCATGATACAAAATCTTCGCTGACTATGCTCGTAGGAGACAGAGGTGGTTCAAGATCATCGTCTTCTTCCCTGACATTTGGAGGAGTGGGATTATAGGCGAAAGAGTCAATATGGCCTGCGCGAGAAACATCCGCAAAAAAGTTTCGCCCTTCAACCATGGAGGTATCGTGTTCCATGAAGTCGGGCTCAATAATTCCATCAAGGCGTGGAGGACCTTCTGGGTGGGCTTCCCAAAAGGCCGGGTCAAGAGTAGGATCTCGAGAACCAGCTACTCCTCCCGCAGCTATCGGAACCTCAACTCCAAGATCTGGGTCGAAGTCAGGCCCATCCCAGTATAATGCACATACTCTCCGCCAACACTTCTTCAATTCCTCCACTATCTTCAGAGGCACCTTGGAGTGCATCGTGCCCTCCAAAAGTGCTTTTGCGAATGCGTTAAGACGTTCACAAAATAACACTCTCAATTCGTAGTCGACGACAAAGTCGTCCAGGAAGTAATTGAGCACCCAATGGCGAATCGCGACAAATGTTCGAACTCTGACCACCGTACCAATTTCATCATCCCTTGAAACTGCCCACTGCAGTCTTGCGATTAGCATGAGTAAAAGGTCTGTTGTCTCCAAAAACGATCTAAAAGTTAGAAAGAAGTCGGATAGAAGATCATAATCGACGAAGGTCGGAGACGTGATTTCTGCAACAAGACGAGCTGGGCGTCGCCGCTCTAATGCCTCCATTTTCACCATAGCGCACAATGGATGGATGATCACAAGCCGGCTTGAAGGTGAGCGCATCGAACATTTCGGGTTCGATAGCCCTCGATGGCTTAACAACTCTTGGCGATGGAATTGGGCGTGATTGGTCCTCAGGGCTTGGTGGGCCAGTGACAGCACGAGACTGTGGAGATGAATCAGAATGGCGCCGTGGAAAAATTCGCGAATGACGCTGCGAGGCTGGATCCATCTGTGATGTTTCTCTGCTCGATAAAACACTGGAGCGCATATCATCGTTATTGTTTGTATAGGAAGATCCTCGAAGAAAAGGCGTGCCGCGCATGCTGAATCGTGGTTTTCCCAGTTTGTATGAAGGAATATTAACGTCAAGAGCAGGAATACCTTGAAAGAAGTCGAGCTTTTGAGTGGCAGTAGCAGTCCCAGGTCTCTCTATGATAACCTTGAAAGCGCCAGCGTCCTTGTCAGTAACTGGTGCGTGTTGGTCATCTACTGTCGAGTACGAATGTGCTCTTCCGCGTCCAGGTTTGATTGGTCCTGTGCCTTGGATTCGCTGGTTCAGACTCGATGCTGCTGACTTCGATGGTGACCAAAGACTTTCACGGTGGCTCAAATCATCCTCCTCTCTGCGAAACGCGACAGCATCAGGTCCAGCAGTATCTGGTGGTGTTGTTGGAAAGACAAAGGATGGCTGAGGATATCGTTGGTTTGCTGGACGTATTGACGGGCTGTTGGTTTGTCAGTACTGTTTACTGTCAAATATGGAATTCGTTGTGGTGGTAACGAGCACTATATCATCAACCAGCATCACCCTGTCTTACCGTAAGTATATCTTTCCTCCATTTCCCACCTTAGCAACCGTAAATTGCCTACCTTCCCGACCAGCAGAACCCCCGTCTGGAGTGATGCTACCTTTCTCATCTTCTATCTCTCTCTTGACCCGACGGTAAACATTATTATCGTTGCGCGAACTTTCCTGCATCAGCTTCTCCTGTTGGTTGGGGCTTCTCTTTCCAGTGGTTCTCGGTTTGGGGGCTGACAATGAAGGAACGCCAATGTTTTTTTGTCGTTCGACCTCTGTAATGGTTGTAGATTTATTATTAGGTGTTGCACAACGACCTCTAGGGGACAATCGATCTCGTTGACGTTGACGCAAACTTTCAGGTGAACGAGCTACAGGTGGACGGGAGGCTTGGGTCTGCGCCTCGACCTCCATTATTAATCTATTGTTTGCCCGGATTTTCGCCTCCTTCATGGCTCTCAGCTTCTTCGTCTTTTTCCTGATTTTCGACACATGGAGGATGAATCAAGTGAACATTGCGAGTGAATTATATTAGGTTTGAGAGGTTGGGATAATGAAAATGAGAAGGTTGAAGGATGCTTGCGACGGGCTCTCGATCACCAAAAGGCCGTCCAATTGGCAATAATGTGATGGGTGGGGGGTTCGATCAGTTCACTCTCAGGTTTAGGTTGGGAGGGAGGAATTCGTCGATAGATAATATTGCTTCTGGCCAGAGCAAGGATTTCAAAGGAAGGGAGAGAAGGGAAGGAAGGGAAGGAAAGGAATGGAATGGTAAGGTGGAAAGTGCGAACTGGAAATTGGGAATAGAGAATACTGTAATGAGTGAGAGTGAGAGAGTGAGAGAGTGAGAGAGTGAGTGCGTGAGTGCGTGAGTGCGTAAGTATGTGAGTATGTGAGTGTGCAGGAGCATATGCGAAAGAAGTAGCAGGATGTAATGTAAAATTGTAAATGTACCTACACTACACATTGAGACAGGACAAGGCGGGCATGACCAAATGATTCCGCCAGCCACTTAGAATTCTGAATTCTCATCTCGAAATGGCAATTAAGAGAAATTTACAAAAAGAGGAGTAGCGTAAGCCACTTTTGATTGGTCCGTCGAGTACCTGGCTACTACTCTGCATGTCCTCCGTATGTACCTAGGTACTCCGTGTGTGCATTTTGCTTTGCAGGGGCGTGAAGGCTTGTCGGTGCAGGTATTATTTATTTATTACCAGGGGGAAAGGTTCCCTCGTTCCCAAGACTCTAAGAGATACTAAGGAAATGAGCGAAAAGACCCAGCTTCAATCATTATCGGTCAGCCTATCCCCGATTTGGATCCCCGGGGCTAATGCACCAGATGTCAAGTCTAGATCTGTCGACGAATGATATCGTCTCCTGCACCACCACATCCTGGACAATTTGGATTTTGCAAAGATAAAGAAATGAAAAGACTGGTGGATTGATTCAGGAGCATTTGGGGCGAGTCGAGTTGCGTTCATCAAGAAGAAAGAGTTGGTACGAGCGTCGTGTTATCAATTGATGAGTCTTGCGTCTTGACTGACTGGACTGGACTGGACTGGACTCGGTAGTAGTAATCAAGGGGAAGCTTGAAAGAGTGGCAAGGTTGGAAATGAGTATCGAGGTAGTAATGATGAGGTATGAAGTATGGTTGGAGTGATGTTTGAGAGATGTTTGGTGGTTGCAGAAGCGGTTTTCAGAGAAGTGAAGTAAACAATCCAAAACAAAAACAAAAACAAAAACGTCACTTGGGATTTAACTTTGCCTAGGAAAATGCTAGGAAAATGCTAGCTACCTAGAGAATCATCATGTGGTACCTGGCTAACATTAACCACATAGGTACTAGATGTGTAGTAAGCAATTAGGTACACAGTATATGTATTGGATACGCCAGATACAATACCCTCGCGGCTATTCAATTTGTGTACACCGTACCTATGTACGTATGCGATCGCTTGCAATTGTGGGAATGAGAAAAGATGTCTGCTTGAAGACATGTGGTATCTCCTGGTCGTGAAATCCTACAGCTTTTCAGACGCCAGTTTCATCCTGCATACAGATAACAGGTACGATAATCGTGTCCTGGCGACCGATGATGTACGATGGACGTCTTCGGTGGAAATCCGTTTGGGCTGAGGGCTGAAGACTGGAACCTACTGCTACTACTACTGTACGGAGTACCTGCGGTCTTACATGAACCAACCACTTTCATCATCAATTGTCCCTGTCTGTCTCAAACAACAAGAAGCAAATCCATCCAACCTTGGTATCGGAATAGCAAAAGACCTGAAGTGAAATCATCCTTCGCACAGAAATACAGGAAATATAATGAATGTGAATCTTGGAATGGATGGACCCATCTCCCTCGTTTGGACGGGTTAATAAATAGAAAATTAACTAGAGACAAAAGTGGAGGATGCAATTCCAACTCCCATTTACTCCATAGGATCTGGTGGGGTGAACACCGTGATGTGATGTTCGCCGATGAAAATCACACGGCCGTTGGAACTTGGTACTTCATACACCATCCATATACAGAGTAGGCACTCAGTCATCAATTCAGTTCTGCCGCCTTCATATCTCCGTCCTTGGATGATGACCTGTGATGTGATACAGCCATGATTACTATATCTGCCACTTGACGCCGCAGACCTGCAGCGTGGGTCATTCGTTGAATAAGCTACCTGCTCACTACCTACTCCATCCAGAAGAAGCTATTTTCGTTGTTGTTTTTTCGCGCCATGATCAAACCATAACAAGTCACCCCCAACTTTGAGACGATCATGCAAAAGTCTCCATCTTAAAATAATTTCAAACATGACTTCAAGCATCAAAAGCAATCTTGATCCCAAGGACTGTTGACCGCATTGATATAATTAGTGTGGAGGGCTATTTCGATTGTGTACGGAGTACTTGTCGAACCATCGTGCAGGTACCTATCTAACATCTACCGGTTCCACACGCAAATTGACAGAGAGCTGCTTCGCCATTATAACCAACGTGGGCAAAGATCTGGGCCAGAAGATAACTTCTGGAAGTGAAATAAAATTACGCACTCTGACATTGACTCTATCACGGTACCCAGTTATCCAAAAGGGAAACTTTCAAAAGATCCAAGCGGCTACTCATGAAAAATCACAAAGGGACCAGATCACCGGGGCAGCCAACGACTCGAGTACATTCTGCACAAGAATCCTACGGAGAAAAAGAAGTTCACATCATTCATCATTACTGAGCAATTAAGGTTGCAATAAGCAACCAGTCTAGTTGCAGGAGAAGGAAACAGACAGCCCGGAATTGACCACTGGCGAAACCCTTCTACAATCCGATTGTCCCATTTCAATCCAAAGAATCAAAATTCTAGACAGTACAGTCAGTATCATACCTTAAGGCAATTCCAGGGTTTGTTTAGTAATATTGACTCTCATAATTTAATTCGTGGTTGATTTATTGTAGAATTCATTAGGGTGATGAATTTTGGCCTCTCTCTTTCTCCTACGGAGTACGTATCGTATCGCCTCCCCAGCCCAGCACAATGGAAACGAACTTTGGAATAGTGGAGCCATAGATGTAACTGACCACTCAGATTATACAATTTCCCAGTAAGGATGAATTGCGAATGGATAAATCATACATACCATTTGATGTTCTAAATGAGCATCCGGAAAAGCCCTGGGAATTCCATATTGAAGTAATAGACTACTACGTGTCGGTCATCTTCTACTTCTGCGATAAAATACGATCAACGACTCGAGATGAATTGCATTTCTCCGTCGGCTCAAGCCCCAAGCACCCTCATTAGGAGTGAGCTTAAATAGATATACTCCCGGAGCCGGCAAAGATGGCAAGGTTATATGTCGGTACCAATCATTGTGGAAAAGAGATGCGTTGCAAAAAAACGGTTATGATTGACAGTGCGGATTATCCAAATTCGTCAAGCCGGTTCATATCAAGCCCTAGACACTATTACTGATGGGGTATCTGCTCTTTATACTTCTTATACTTCTTATGCAGGAGGATTATCTAAGAACCAAGACCCTTTCTCTTCATTATGATATGGGTTGTATGCATATCTGCTGCTTCTCCAACCTTATGAACATCAGTCCAAAACATTCACACTCTGTTTTGCCACATCAATGGGATTCTCATGCTATACAGATAACAGTCCCAGTAATCGCCTTCAGATTTCAGACTTGCTTATTCTTCTTGTCAGGCTGGAGCCGAAGAAGAGGTCGAGCAATGTTTCCCGCAGCGCGTTTCTCCGTACCATCTCAGATATGGGTCTACATTCTTCTCTCCATAGAGATCGGCGCATCGGATCCCAACCTTGTTCAGGAGAGATGTTTAGTGACTTCTTTTTGAGAGCCCAAAACCTACTTCGTGCCCAAAAAGCAAAAAGCTCTGGGATTTCCCCGATCAAAAGATTGTGAGATTGACAGTTCAAGCCCGCCATGCTCATGTTATACGATTGGGTCCCACCAGTATATGATACTATATCCATGGATATCGATGACCTGGAGATTAACATGCAGGAGAAGTAGCTCATGGGCTAGACCCAGCTACATAGATCGTGGCTTATGAGAGTGACCCTTCCCAAGGACAAGAAACACAAATTCCCATACAATACGGCAAGTAGAAATGCGGGATAAAGACGGGAGGGGTCTTGGGAAGGATTGATGACCATGACTATCCAGAATCTAGCTGGAAAGAGGCAGTGTACAACAAATTATGATCACAGGATTAGCCAACGTTATTGGAGCAAAGAGGAGGCCGCATATATCAATGCGCCATCTATTCGTGCGCGGGAGATCTAAACAATCAGAATGCATCCTCTTGGGCCGCTTCAATGGAAGCTTTGAGTGGCATCATCACGAGATCATTGTAAGTGATAGGCACTTATCATCAAACTAGATTCTACTGCGTATACGATATAACACGCTGCAGACAGCAATTATTCCCATTTCAAGAATTACACCCTCTTCGCAAAATGCCCAGCCACTTCTGTTCAATCTAACTTTTACACGGATCATCCATTAACTTTGGAGAAAAGTCTATTTTCTAGTTGTAGTTTCTAGAGAGGAGAGAGGTAGACCCTTCCAACCTTCGTAGACGAGTCTTGGTTTAACATGGATGCATTCGCTGGGAGATCCCAGCTTTCCGAGAGAAAGGATTATTCATCCGTGCGAACACTGACTTGTGGTTACTCTTGAACCAAATCGAAAATTCATTTTAAATGATTTTGCAATTTTGCCTTGCTGTAGAAAATTGTCTGTTGGATCGAATACCTCGAATACCAGATATGTGATTCAGGTTTCGGCGCCTCCAGATCTTAGAAGTTGGAGGAAAGTTCTGCATACGATTTTCACAAGCTAAGATATCTACGGACCCACTGGATCGCCGAGGTGGCCGGGTAAATGCTACCGTCATCACAGCTAAAAATGATACCTTACGTCCGCCTTACGTCGTAATGATATTCAGCCTTCTCTACGATATGCCTCGTGGCCATTCATCTCCCTCCGGCATTATCCCTCATCCAACTTCCGATCCCGAGGTCACGCTAAACACTTTTCGGCGTTTGCGAATCGGAAGCGGTTTCAAATTACTGACTGGCCCTACTTGACGGGATGTTCCCTTCTCTTTCCCGCCGTGACAGGTTGGGCTCATTGGTATATTAATATAATAACGGTTGTTGATATCGATAGTTACCGGTACCTACCGGTTTATTATGAATTCGAAGAACCCGGTATGTGTTATTTTCGAAGGAAAAATACAAGATTTCTCCGTAATGTGTCTACAGATTACACATGGAATGTCGATTTACGTCTTGGTTCTTCTTTCATGCAATTTCTACAGGTTTCTAATCTTCACGTCAGCCTCGCCGACGCACCACGCTGCACCTTTTCTTACATGCAAGACTTTCAAACGACCAATCAAAAAGAAGTTTCTAC